TAGGTTCTGTTCTGTTTAGGGGGGGGGGGTGAATAGCCAGATTGAGGATTGAGGGCGAAAAGCGACCATCGTGGCACAAGAACCAAATGAAGCTGTTGGTAACCTTAAAAAACAAACGTGTTCGTTTTCAAGGCCATGAGTCGGGCAATCGGTTTGTGATAGAGAACCAATTTCCCACTGGGCACTAGATGTTGCGAGGCTCAATCCTGGGATGCCTTTTTGCCTGCCTTCTAACTATGAAATAAAACACTTAGATTATAGAGACAGTGTTGATTTATGTAAAATATTTTATTGAGGGCTGTCTGATTTAAAAAGTGTGTGAAAGTGGTAAGCATAGGAATAAATGAACTTGATAAAATTTGAAAGCCCTCTTTAAAGCTCAGTATTTTTTAGTTTTGACTGTTCAGGATGTAATGATATAATAATATGTATATATATCATTAAATGTCACTCTCTCACTCTCTGTGGAGTTGAGTTCCTTCCACCTACTTTTGGGTTTATTGAAAAAAAGTTTTTTTTAAATATGATGATAAATGTTGAGGAATTAATGTGAGCTAATAATTTGAACAAGGAGTTCCAATTTAGTTGGATTCCATTTATTCTGGGAACCATGGAATCTGAAAATATTGATCTCTTTCAAAAATTCTGTGAAAAGTTCTTGTCAAAGCAGTTATCTCTGCTTTTCAGGAAATCAAATCAGATGGGTGTGGGTGGAGCTTGCGAGTCTTGACTTGACGCATTGTAGGAGCAGTGAAGTTACGGGAGTGACCACTATGAGACAGAGTAGAACAGAGGGATGTTACGTTCTTGGCTATGCTTATAGCTTGACGAATAATTATAAAATGTGCTCACAAACAACCACAAGACCTCTGTGAGAATGAGTAGTAACGGAAGTTGTCCTTTATTATCAAGATGGTCACGTTACGGCCTTGTGGCGTTATAACATAGTTGGTCAATTAAGTCCAAGCTATTATTGTACACACATGACAGGGGGGGAGGGGGGGGGGGGGTAGGGTAGGGTTTGGGTTATATATATCATGGGTCTCAATAGTCCGCTATTTAGCGGATTTCCGCTACAGCCATTTCCTCCGCTAAACTCCTCTACCGCGACAGTGGGCCAATCAGAAAGAGAGTTGTTGGGAGCAGGGTGACTGCCAGGCCCCTGGAATTGAAAAAAAAATCGCCGTGACCCGGGAAAATGCATAAAAAATCTCGAATATTTGAAAACGAGATCCAATAACGTCTTTAAGTTCATTTCTGCCGGTCGCTATTGTGATATATTAATTCGGCTCTGCTGAGAGTACGTTTCCCGCCAACTGGCGGCTTTGGCGTCAAGCGGAATTGTGTCACCAAGGCTCGACTGGAAAATCAAGATCTACTTTCGCTTTCGTCACCACCCAGAAATTTGTCAGTAATTGTCTGATAACGCAACATTTATTGTAACATGCAGGTTCGGCATTACAAACGTGGTGTCGCCAGGAAAATAAATTAATATTTGTCACTGTGCTGTCACTTGTGGGGCGGGGGGGGGGGGGCAACAACAAAAAGAAAAGAAAGCTATTCAAGCGTCTTGTCGCGCTCGTCATTGTGACCGCTCATTGAACCTGCACGCGTTCTGAGCGCTGCGAAGTACAGGGCTCAGGAATGGGGGGGAGATTATAGATTTTTTTTAAAAGACGCCCTCGCGGATAGGGGGAGGGATGGACGCAACACCAGAGGACAAACTGAAACTGGAAGCAAATGTTTCGTGTTTAGAATTTTGATTACTACTACAGCTCTCTGCAAAGTAAAGTGTGCGTTGGTGCAGGCCCCTGTGTGAAATCGGGAACCGTCATAACTTGTAAGCGTGTTATTGAACTTAGGGGCCTAAGTGTTCGCTTTATTGGCGACTGTAAATTAGATCTCAGACCGATCTCTATATTTTAGCTTTCTGTTCAAGATTCGCAGATTTTCAGTATCGCTGCATCTTGCCCTCCCACAGTTCTTACACCTCTCACACTGAATAGGTCTACTTGGGCTATTCTGCTCTACTTTGAGTTTGAGCATTAGTTTTTGTCTTTCACGTTTATTTTATAGGCCTATATATATATATATATATATATATATATATATATATATATATATATATATATATATATATATATGGTATGAATCATGACAGTCGATATTCTGGTTCTAGGCTCAAAACAAGATTCATTTATATATACAGGCGAATATGATGAAGGGAAAATATAAATAAGTCGCACAAGACCCCAGGCGCCATCACTTTCTGTATGTAATGAAGATTGTAAATATTTGGTACGTGACTCTTACTTGAAATTATCTCACAAACCGTCAAATTGGTGTGAAATAACCTTGCTTTGATGAATTGATGGTTCAGCATTCTAGGGTTAAACAGTATAATAATGGGTCTTTCGCAAAGATGGGCTTCTGTGGCGATCACCCCGGAAAGTTCCTTCTTTTTTAGAATTCTGAGTTGAGACCCATGATATATATGGTTAGAGGTCTCTTCTTTATATATCTATTGTGTTTGTTGGGGTGGTTGCTCGTTACGCGGAAGTCCTTCCAAAATTTCAATAGTGCTTCCTTCTAATGTTATAAAAATCTCACAAATTTTTACATTTCCGTCAATTTCAGTAAAATTGTTTGTGTGCAGAATGGATGAGTTTTCCTTTGAGTTTGTGGCTGAGAGCATGGCCAAAGAGAACTTTGCCTTGCTTTATCAGCTCTACCAGGCGGGAGAATTGTGCGATGTGGAGATTTCTGTAAGTTTGATTCCTGTAAACTTGTCTCTTGTTCCTGTACGTTTTTGTGTTTTGAACAAAAATGTTTGAAAAATGCAAGTGTGTCATGAAATACTGGCCATTAGTATAGTACAGAACAGGTGTTGCTAACCATTATGTTATTATGGAGAGGTGACCACTAAGGTAGGTTTGGTTACAAGTATTAGTTTTTAGAATTCAGTTCTAAAGACAATGCTTTGAAATGGTGACTCTTTCTTAATGCTCTGCTCCCAGATGGATTATATGTGCTTGTTGTTCACTTTCACTTTGCCCTTCCATACTTCTAGAATCAAACAGAGGAACATTCAACCAGATATATGCTCTGGCACAATCAGTAGAGAAAGAACCTCAGCGACATTTTGGAGAGAGCAATGGAGCATCAATGGACATGTCCGGAATGCAGGGATGTAGCTTCCTGTAACAATGAACATTGAACTTCTAGAATCCATCCTCCAATCATTTTTTAAAAGTTTCTTAATGGCATTCAGCCTTTTCTCTTTCAGGTACACATTCAGTTTTCCTGCTAAAAATCGTGTGTACAGAAATAGTCTAAACAGTGATAAGGTATCAAATTTTTGTTATTACTTAGTTAGGGATTCACCTTCACCTATCCCGTAGACCAGATGTTCGTCAAGGCACTTTTGAAGGTTTGGCCACCAGCTTCCTCCACTCCTTCCTGTCTTCAACTTTCCTGAGCGTGTCTTTGAGTTCCAGGCCTGTCCATTCCTTGATGTTGTCCTCCAAACTCTTCTTCGGTCTGCCTCTGCTCCTTTTTTCCTTGACGCTGTGTTGCAGGATCATTTTTGCAAGGCCGAATGAACGGGATATATTCTTTCGTGATTCATTCTTTCTTTTTTATTGGAAGATATATTATTACCCTTCTCCCTCCAAGACCAAACATTGACAACACATTTTATGGAACATTACAGCAACTGCAGCAAACTTGCATCTATCACTACATGGTATTGGACAGAGGCGAGCCCAGCTGTTGCTGGATCGATGACAACAACAACAACAACATAAGAAAATATTTATAAAAATAAAATTACTGAAAAACTCATCTTGTAATTTTTTTCTTTTTCTTTCACCATTTTTCTTCTTCTAGGTTGGCAAAAAGGTGTTCCTGTGCCATCGCCTGGTGCTAGCCTGTGTGTCTCTGTACTTCCGAGCCATGTTCCAGTCACAGATGATGGAAGCCACGGAGAAGTCGATCCGCATCAAGGACATCGACGAGGAGGCCATGTCGCAGCTCATCGAGTTTGCGTACACGTCCAAGATCCGGCTGAGCACCGACAACGTCCAGGCGATCCTCTACGCCGCGTCGATTCTACAGATCGAGACAGTCGCAACAGCGTGCAGCAACTTTATGCGCTCTCATCTTCAGCCTTCAAACTGCATTGAGGTAGGAATTATTATTGTAAGCTGCTGTTCCTCAAAGTGGGCTGTGGTATTTTGTTTTGTTTTTCTCAGTTGGGACAAGTTTGAGATATATATGTGTCACAACACGGTGGAATCAGGCGCTTGTCTATTTTTGTGCATGTGGAGTTACTGCTATCATCTGAAAGCTGATATATTTGCCTTGCTTTCAATGAAATAAATATCCACATATTTTGAATAGAATTCAAGATATTTGCAATTGCTGGAAGTGAGGTCACCTGGTTTCAGTAGTGAAATTAGCGACAAAATGACTTCCAAAGTTTGGTAACTCCAATAGCTAAAGAGTCCTTGAAAACAGAAAAATGACATATTTTCCATTAATCAATGTTTTTCAGTAAAATGCACATGGAAATGTGTTTTTATATGGACATAAATGAGGTTGAGCCCAAAAATAAAAATTCTATAAAAGTTTCCAAACTTTCAGAAAAATGCCTATTTCTTTGATTTCTGTATTTTGACAAGCGCCTGAGTTCACCTCGCTGCCTCACATATACTTGTATTATTTAAAAGTTTATATTGCACTTCATATTTGTGAACGTCACTGTTCAGAACTTTCTCTCATAGATATGTAGGGCTTGTCTCACCCTTTCCCCCTCAGAATGCTACATCTGGGAGTCTCAGGAACACATGGTCCATAGTTTCGTCCTCCTCCTTGCAGGCTCGACAGGATGGGTCTGGGTTGTCTGCTGGCGCAATTTTGTGGAGATATGATCTCAAAGAATAATATGTGAGCCATACTAACAAAATGAGTTACTTCTCGCAATCCACAAATCGATATATTGGCCTAAAATCGACACTAGGGCCAAATTTGTAGATTTTTTATTGATACCACAGTCTTACTTATAAATTGTAAAAACTTCACCTCTTAGCACGGTGTATGTATTTTCTTCAGGCTTGAATCCGAAATAAATCATTTTGTCAGCACGCGTCACATATGTTTTCTTAACTGGTTGTCAAATTTGCGTGCAGGTGAGGCGGTTTGCCGATATGCACAACCGCGTGGAGCTGATGAAGATGACGGACACATACATGCGGGAGAACTTTATCGCCGTCTCCATGAATGAAGAGTTCCACAACATGTCCTTCCCCATCCTGAAAGAGCTCATTGTATCTCCTGACCTGAACGTAGACTCGGAAGAGCAGGTAAGCCTGTCGTATTTATTATTATTGTTATCAAAATAACATTGAGTGTGTATCTAGCTTACGATTATTGTTTATATTGCTGCTCATTTATATTATGCATGTGATTGTAAGCCTACTTGTGTGTGCATGTGTGTGCACGTGTGTACGTGTGTGTGCACGTGTGTTTGTGTGTGTGTGTGTGTGTGTGTGTGTGTGTGTGTACTCGTGGTGGAACACCAAACCAATGTGCCAGGATCTGGACAATAAAGATGTATCTTATCTTATCTTATCCTTTCTCACTTTTTCATTTTACAAATAATGAATCGGTCGATGTTTATCTGTGTTGGTTTGTTCTGTATCTTAGGCAAACGTCCTTTTTTTTTTCTTATCATCTAATACAGCGTGATCCAAAAAACTTCAGTATGGAGGAAGGTAGTTACAAAAAAAAGTTAAGTTTGTTGTTTTTTTGGATCAGCCTGTACATTGATCGATTTGTAGTCTTGAGAAGACCGTTTTCTGTCTTTGTCAGAGGTGAGGGTTGGTACTCCACTGTGAAATAGTTTCTAAATGGCAACAAGATAATTTGCTCCTCGGTAACAAGGCTTTTATCTCATGTTGTGTATTCACTTTTAAAGTTATAAACACCAGCAGTTTGCTCTGTCTGTGCAAACTTTTGGCTGATCGGTTCTGACTTTTGCAGAGTTGGCGAACATTGTTTGGATAACAAGAAAAAAGCGTTTCTGTTGCCTGATTTCAAACAAGACAAGGCTTTCATGTGTTCTTTGATGTACGATTATTCCACGTAGCGCGACCTCAATGCTTTCTTGTCGTATCTCCATTTTTTTAAACAGTGAAAATGTGACTGCTTCTTGAGCTCACTCTTTGTCATGAACTGTTTTCTCAGGGGAAAAAAATGGAGATACGACAAGAAAGCACTTAGGTCACGGTATTTCTAAATTCTTAATTCACATCATCAATTTTACACCGCTAATGTATTGCGTCTTTTTCATAATAACTTTTCTGTTTCCCGCTTTTTGTGTCAGTTGTAATGAACTTTTGATTATTACTCTCACCGTTTTTCCATGTATTTTTAAAACGTTTCTGTCTCTAAGTCAAACTACCCCCTGGGGCAGTTCCACTGACTGAAGTGTCTTTAGGCCATTCGCAAAGGGGGGACATTTCCCATTCAAGCATAGTAAAATTGTAAATGGGCTGACTCATGTCACGCTCATAACTGTGCCTGATCTGCAACAGGGAACTGCTCCTTTTTCTTTCCTTGTCCTTACTATTGTCATTTTCTTCTACTTAAAACCCTCTACTATTTTTTTAAAAAGTCAAACTTTGTTTTCTTCTCAACAGGTCTACAACGCCATAATGAAGTGGATCAAGCACAACTTGGAGCAGCGGGTCTCACACTTGCCGGATTTGTTAGAGAGGGTTAGTCAAACTTTCTATAATATATCCACTACACTATTCGTATTTGTCATGATATGATCAGGGCTTTCTTTCCTTTCAAACGTCTACCATCCTTCTCTCCCCTCCTTCTTTTTTGTGTTTGTTACTCTCTTGTAACACCTCTCATCTTCAGCACTTATATGACCTTATTGTGTTGCAAGTGCCGTAAAACTCTCACTAAAATTATACATGACAGCAGCTAGTGACTGTGTTCGCTGTGGTGGGTAGTTACATTATATATACGTCTACCTATTATGCTGGTCCAGGGATGACACTTCCAGGTATCCAGGATAACGTTTACTCCCTCGTGACAGCTGTTTTTTGTGTCATGTTTTTGTGACCACTCATCTGTTTTTTGTGTCATGTTTCTGTGTTTTTGTGTCATGTTTCTGTGTTTTTGTGTCAAGTTTCTGTGTTTTTGTGTCAAGTTTCTGTGTTTTTGTGTCATGTTTCTGTGTTTTTGTGTCA